TGCGCCTGTGCGCGTGGGATTACAGGATTCCCGGAACCTGTCATTTGTTGCCCGCAGCCAATCAGGAAATGGCGCACACTGATTAGCTTCGAGTTTCGTGAGGCTAAGGACAACGCACGCGGGGTGTGGCCGTTACGCAGAGCCTAGGGTCGAGGAGCCATAGGTGAGAGTATGGTTCCAAGTTTGAGCTCACGCAGGAGCATTAACTACCTGCACAAGACAAATGCAAGTACTACCAACGCGGTGCTCCCCTTAGGAAATACCCTAGATTTCCATTCCCAAAAACACAAAGATGTATCGAGATCAGTAACCGTGTTAAATCCAAGGCCGAGGGATGACGTCACGAGCAAGCCATGTTCTGGGTCAGAGGAATGCGTGACCGAACCGTCTGAGACGACAGCTCGACATCGCAAAGACAGCATGAGGTGTCCCCAACAGAGCAATGGTGTGCAGCATTCGGGATCTAACCTAAAAGGGGAAATGGCGTAAACTTCAGAACACCTCGATAATCCTCAGTTCGAAAACCCGTAGAGGTCGAGTTTTGCAACCCCGACTAATCTTTCAATTTTGCTCGACCTGAAAATGAGACCACACACATTTTTAAAGTTGTCGGAACATTATTTATGTGAGCTGTGCTTTTAACTAGTTAGACCTGCAGCTGTTCTAGTGTTTTTTTCTGAGCGGCCAGGAAAGATATTCTGACACCGCTTAGGTTGAAGGGGACGGCAAAATAGTTCCCATGCAGGTTTTTGTCGGAGAGTTTGACAGAATGTATTGCCATGACCAAAGAAACCTCCGTCCAATCGACGGCGTCGCGGCCACCACGGAGGTATCCACGAGTATCGTTCTAAACGACCTACGTTCCACAAAGGAAGCGTGAGAATAGTCAAGGTTTCCGTTTGTGTTATCGTTGCAAACAACCACGCCAATCACTTGCCATACAGCAAACAATAGTACCAGTGAAATGCGCGGGAAATAGTTTGTAGCGCCGTCCACCTCCGGCGCCACGGCCTGCCTCTGGGACAGCCAATCATAGGTGCCGCAAACTGCTTTTGGCCAAACAACTGATCAAGCGGCCTGCGGCTTATCGCAGGGGGTTAAGTAAGTTAGACCTAGGCAACTGCGATCTTCAGACCATGGTTACTTAGTACAGAAAAAGTCG